TTCCCTCCTTGTCTTCTGTCATTCATTTTGAAGTTATATTCACTGAGGACATTGGTGGCTTGCTCTCATTCTGTCTCTCTACTTCAAGCCCTTAATGCCTGCAGAAATTTGAATACCAACCTAAGACATTAAAAAATTTAGAGTTCATTTGCGTCCACAGGTGGCGTGAAGGTTAAGGCACTGGATTCCCATATGGCAAACGACCACAGTTCGAATCTCAGCAGTTGTTCAGGACCAGCAGTTAGCGTAATGGCTATGTCGCTGGACTCCCACATAGGCGATCACGGTTCAAGTCCCAGACCCAGTGGCTTAAACTCACACCAGGTGTGTGTGTGTGTGTGTGTGTGTGTGTGCCCAAGATCCCGAGAGGAGAATGGAGGAGAAGGGATTGTGGCGTGACCATCCCCCCGGGGGGTGATTTCTCACTTTCTGTCTCTCTGGGGAGTACACGTGCCCTATAGCAAAAAAACCTCTCCAAAAAAAAAAAAGAATTTAGAGTCCTTTTATCTCTCCAACCTGTATAGTTTTCAGCTCTTTACTCTTCTAGCATCCCACTGCCATAGTGTCCCTGAGCTTTGTCGTCACCTCAGACTTGAGGCTCTTGAGTGCCAGTTCCCCTGTCTGACTGTTATATCCTGCATTAGCTCTCATATTGTCACTACTGGATAAGAGGAACCTGTGGTCTCCTGACTCCTCCCTACTCTTCTGGCCCTTTGGTGCTTTTCATCTAGCTTCACTTCCTTCCTTGCTCAGTTTCCATGCTGTTACTTGGCTGCACTTTGCAGTCTCTCCTCTGCTCTGAGTCTGCTCCTGCTTTTCATATCATGCCTCCGTCATCTATCACAGGCCTCTACTTGCCCCTTGAATATTTTATTTCTCAGAATCTGTGCCATTGGGGGCTAACAGTTAGCGTAATGGCTATGTCGCTGGACTCCCACGTTGTCAACTACAGTTTGAGTCCCAGACGTGGTGGCTTAAACTCATGCCAGATGTGTGTGCGTGCGTGCCCAAGATCCCAAGAGGAGAATGAAGGAGAAGGGATTGAGGCATGGCCATCCCCCCCTGGGGAGTGTTTTCACATTTTGTCTCTCTTTCTCTGGCGAGCGCATGTGCCCTGTAGCAAAAACCTCTCCAAAATAAAAAAAAGGAATCTGTGCCGTTGTCTTCTGACAGCAATCCCATCTTTATGTCAGATTTTTCCACCCAGACTTCTCAAGGGGCAACAATGTGCTAGAAAGTGTGCCAGGCTCTGATACAATGGCGAGCGACAACAGACCTGCCTGGCACACTGGAGATACACAGTAAAACGTCACAAAGTCACGGGGTAAACATTTGTTGTATAAGTAAATATCTAGTTTTGATTGTCACAGTAAATATGTATTTAGCAAACTTACATAGCCTTCATGTCAGACATCCATAAGTGTTGAAGAAACAGTTCTGGTGAGGAAAGATAGCTAAAATGCTTTTTCTGAACGTTTTTCTTTGTGGGGAGAGATTTCTGCTATAGGGCATGTGCACTTGCCACAGAGACAGACAAAAAGCAAGAAATAAACCCCATGCCGCAATCTCTTCTCCTCCATTCTCTTCTTGGGATCTTGGGCACACACACATATGTGCCCAATGTGAGCTTAAAGCCACCAGGTCTGGGATTCGAACCGCAGTTGACTAACTTGACAGTCCAGTGACATATGCCATCTGCTGGTCCCCTGAACCATTATTTAACACCAGGTTTGATAATCTGTGGAAATGAAGATAAAGGAAAAATAACTTAATAAAACCTCTAGTATGTCAAGTTGTTTTTGGTTTTGTTTTTGTTTGTCATAGAGTGTGTGCACTCGCCAGAGAGAGACAAAGAAGGAAAGTGAGAAATTATCCTCCAGGGGGGTACCCATGCCACAGTCCCTCCTCTTCCATTCTCCTTCTGTGTTTTTGGGCATACACGTGTATAACAACTGGTGTGATTTTTTTCAAGCCACCAGGTCTGGGACTCAAAACGTGGTCAACTGTGTGGGAGTCTGGCACTTCAACCACCACACCACCTGCTGCACTGAAATTCAACTGCTAAATAGGAGTTTATGTAACAATACTGCCTGCCTGAGATATATTAAACATTTCTTTATTAAATACATTTAGAGTATCTTCTAGATCTTTTCAGAGTGGTTTAAATGTGGTCATGCTTTAGAACCACAAAATAAAAAAAAGAGTAGGTTGATTGATTGATTTTGGTAATTCCATGACTTGTACTATGAAGTTCTGAGGCTAGGACTAATAGTACTTCCCTCACTTTTCCAGGAAAAGTTGGACCACCTAAACTGAGTGTCAGAAGGAGGGAAGACTACATCACTATTGACATATTTCACCCTTTAATTATTATAAATGGAAAGGAACTGGGAACCATAAATGATGATGAAAACACTTGCTACACATTTAAGTACGATGTGTCTGTGAGAATGAATGGAAGTGAGGTATGTATTTCTACTTCCTCTTTTTCCAAATGAAAATTACTCTGTAGCTAGCATAAGTTGTTTCTTTGTGTAGTGTAACGAAAGCAGAGTGTTTATGAATATTCAGGTAGCCTCATGGATCACAGGCCTTGGTAAGAAGACAGTATGTGAATGCTGTTGAAGGAAATTGACATAGTTAATTATTAAAACTGACTAACTGAGTATGTTTACATTCTTACCTCATTTAGCAGCATGCCCCCAATCTAGGAAGCTATAATTTGTGTGTTTTTTTTTTAATTGTTAGAGTGTGTACATGCTCACCAGAGAGAGAGAGAAAGAGAGAGAGAGTGTGCGAGTGAGCATGTGTGCACTCCCCACTGGGGTGTGTTCATGCTTAATCCTTTTTCCACTATTTCTTTTCTTTTTTTAAGAGGTTTTTGTCTTAGGGCATGTGTGCTCCTCAGAGCCAGAGGCAGTGAAAGGGAAAATGAGAAATCACCCACCAGGGGAATGGCCATCCCACAATCTTTCTCTTCCATTCTCCTCCTGGATCTTGGTCATGGGTGCACATGCACCTGATGTGAATTCCAAGCCTTTGGGTCCAGGACTTGTACTGCAGTTGGCTATGTGGGAGTCCAGTGATGTAATGGGTTCACCATTGCTGACCCCTCTCCTGGCTCACTATGCACAGTGCTTAACCACTGTGCTACAGGAATGCTTAACCACTGTGCTGCAGGGCCAGTCCTTGATTCTTTATTGTTTTGTTGAAAGGTTTTCTGCATAGGGTGCTTGCGCTTGTCAGAAAGACAGTAAGAGGGAATGTAAGAAACACACACACACATACACACGCACACTCAGGGATGGCCATTCCACGGTCAGTTCTCCATTCTCCTCTAGGGATTTAGTATGCACATGTGCCTGGAATGATTTGCCCAGGACTCAAACCATGATCAGCCACGTGGGAGTCCAGCACCTTAACCACTACTCCACCTGCTGGCCCTAAGTCATTGTTTTTGAGAGAAGAAGTTAGCAATACAACTGTGGAGTTAAAATTATAATCTAGCAGATGTAGTCCACAGTATTATATTCCGTCCATATCCACAAGGCTGGCATTCATTTATGGATACTTCTCAGGTGTATACTGGATGCCCTCCAGGCACCAGGAGTGCAGCTATGGACACTACAAACAAAACTTAGGGTTATTTCTGTGGAGCAGGGAAGCAGATGGACTGAGTATGGGAGAGTGAGAGTAGTGATTTCAGCTGGGTGGTGTCAGTCTCTGAAGAACAGTCAGAGAAAAAGTTTCTAAAAAATAAAACAATAGGAACCAGCAGATGGCATAATGGTTACGTCACTGGACTCCCATGTAGTCGACCACAGTTCAAATCCTGGACACAGCAGCTTGCAACTTACACTGGAGGACACATGTGCATACGTGCTCAAGATACTGAAAGGAGAATGGAGGAGAAGGGATTGCATCATGGCCATCCCCCCAGGGGTGATTTCTCACTTTCTGTCTCTCTCTGTCCCTGGCAAGTGCACACACCCTATAGCAAAAATCTCTCTTAAAAAAATAATAAAACAATTGTATGTAGGAATGAGTATTGCAAGGAGGAATATACCCAATTCAGAAGTTTTTTGTTTGTTTGTTTGTTTGTTTTTTGGAGAGGTTTTTGCTATAGGGCATGTGTGCTCGCCAGAAAAACAGACATATAGAAAGAGAGAAATCACCTCCTAGGGGAGATGGCTATGCTGCAATCCCTTCTCCTCCATTCTCCTCTCAGGATCTTGGGCACGCGCGCACACGCACCCGACATGAGTTTAAGTCACCGGGTCTGGGACTTGAATCGCTGTCGGCTACATGGGAGTTCAGCGACATAGCCATTACATTAACTGCTGGTCCCACAATTCAGAAGATTTTTAGGGAGAAAAGAAAAGACAGGGTTTTTGAAAGGAAAATAAAGGGATTACATATGTTGTTTGGGACACTTACCTTGGCTACCAGAATAATACCAGGTAGCTTTGGTTCAAGATTGGATAGGTGGTTTCTGGACAGATGTCTTCATATTGTCTTTTGTGTAAGGTTACAGTGGCCTTTGTGCAGGGTTGTGGTTCAGGCAGAGAGAGCCCTTGTGACAGTTTTTGTTATCAAGCATACATGCATAAAAACAGCCCTCTTTATGGCCATCCCTGGCCCCATTAGTTAATTTATTCATTTGTTAGTTTTCCGACCTAGATTGACACAAGAGACTCCATTTGATTCTAACCACTTTGAGTAGCGATTTTCAATAGGGTGGTCAGAGCAGGTCTCAGAGAGAAGGTGTAATGGGAGCCAAGACTGAAGGAAGTAATGAAATGAGTCCCATTGAGCCACATGGGGAGACAGGAACAACGCAGGCCCATGAAGGGGTTAGTGAGGGGGCCACAGAAGCTGGAGTGGAGAGAGGGAGCAAGTGAGGTCAGAGGTCACTGGGGTCCCCTAGGGCATTGGAGGGATGCAACTTCTTTGCTTTTGTTCTTAGCGAGATGTCATGCCTCTGGAAAGGTTAAGCAGAAGGGTGACAGCCGATTTGGATCTTAACACATCACCTTGGTTGCTAGTAGAGTGTCTTTCTAAAGTGCAAATTTAATCACTGGTTCTCTGCTGCTTAAAAACTTCACAAATCCCCATTGGCAGCAGAATAATACCTAAATTGCTTCCCATGACATGGCCTGCAGGTCCCTCATTTGACCTCCTGGCTGAATGAATGATAAGCTACCAGGAATTGTTTCGATAACTTGTATGTATTACCGTCCAGAGATACTATAGCCTTTGTGTAGTACTTCCATTATTCTTCCTATAACATGCTTTATCTCTCACCAGCTGGATTTCTAACACCCTAGGAATAGGACTGATGAACATTGACTTAACAACTAATGATGACTATTGTTGCCATTGGAGTTTTAAACTTACAGTTCCTATAGCAGACATTTTAATGGATACGTAGTATCATGCGTTGTTGAATTAACAGATTTACTTATTTGATACCAGGGCTTTGACAGGATTGATAAGCTTTTTTTCAGATTAAAAGAGGCCATGCATTTTCGTTGTTTTTTCCTCCATACAGATTGAAGCAAGAACACACAGACAGACAGAAGATAGCAACTGCAATGAGACTCTGTGCCAGTTAAGTGTCCCAGTGTCTTCACTGAGTGCTCAGTACTGCGTTTCAGCAATAGGAGTCTCTAACACGTGGGGTGTTAAAACCGAACAGTCAGAAGAAGTTTGCATTACTATTTTCGATAACAGCATAAAAGGTAAATTCTTGCCAGTTTTTGCTAAATGTAGTGTGATAGCTAAAACAGGGTAATGTGAAAAGAGGCAAATTTATTTGCAATTTCAGTAACTTTTAAAAAAATATATTCAATAGTTCCACTATTCAGAGAAGCTCAAAATAAAAAATAAGGCACTTTTCTCAGGTAGTAAAAGATATATATATACAAAACAATCAGTTTAGAAACCTATGTGTTAACCATTAGACCCAAAAAAGAAAAAATGAGAAAAGATACACAAAACTATTTGTGTAAATACTTGCATTTCTGGGTTACTGGTGATAAGTCAATTTGTTATTTCAACATGGTGAAATGTGATGAATCCATTCAAATGTTCTTTCTGGAGATTTTAAGTTTAAAAACTGAATAAACTGTGTGACATGTGAACTGGACAAGGACTAGAAATTAATATTCCAAAAATAAATATAGATTAGTTTGAGTAGTGGATCTGGGTAATTTTTATAGTATTTTAGAATACAGTCATGTATCTCTTAGTAACAGGGGTGCGATCTAAGAAATGCGTTGTCGTGCAGACACTTTGCAAAGTGTATTTACGCAAACCTAGATGGTGTAGGCCTCTGCACACCCACATTGTCTGGTACTGCCTCTCCCTCTAATATTGTGTAAACCGTCCATTGTTGAATGAAAGCTTGCCGACATGGTGTGTGACTTACTAACTGTATTTCATCATCTTTTCCTTCTGTCAAGAGTGTAGACACAATAAAACTTTGGAATTGGCATTCTCGAGTGGCAGGTGCCTCAAAAATGTTGTGGCTTTTCTTTTTAGTTATGAAATTTAAATGTCCATTATAGACAATCTATAAAATCTAAAAATGCCGAAAGAGAACAAAATTATCTATAGTGCTACTGTCCAAAATAATTATCCCATTATTCAGAGTTTGGTGATTTCTTTGGATCCTGTTTTTCTCTTTAGTTTCTCGATATGGCTATGATCATATTGTATAATACATATAGTATGTGGAATTTTATATACTGTTTTAAGCTTATATTGTAAATATTTTCCATCTTATATCACATATTCTGTGTCTGTAGATTATTTCATGATGTAAAATATGTGTATTTTAGCTAATATTCCCCATTTTTAGGACTTTTAAGATCATGTGCAGGTTTTCACTCAGATAAATCATGCTTTGATGACTGTATGTAATTGTGTGTTTGTGTGTGTGTGTGTTTTCCTATTGTTAGGATTTTTTTTGTTTTTTGGGGGGTTTTTTGTGGGTTTTTTTGAGAGGTTTTTGCTGTAGACACGTGCGCTCACCAGACAGACAAGAGAGTGACAGAGAGACAGAAAACTAGAAATCACCCCCCAGAGGGGATGGCCACGCCACAATCCCTTCTCCATTCTCCTCTCGGGATCTTGGGCACGCATGCACACACACCCAGCGTGGGTTTAAGCCGCCGGGTCCGGGACTCGAACCGCGGTCGACAACATGGGAGTCCAGCGACATAGCCATTACGCTAACTGCTGGTCCCAAGGATGTTTTTTAAATATGTTTTCTAGGTTTAAAAATGTATTAAAATTTTATGATAGAAAGATCTTTCTGAAGAATGAAAATCTAGGCCAGAGAACGGAAATCAAAGAACACCCCAAATTTAATCCTAATAACTTCAGGGCATTATATGAAGGGTTTAAACAGATGACTTAAAATAATGCAATGCATTTTATGTTAATTCGCATTATACTTTCTTAAAAAAAATTCTGGGCTGGCCCCATAGCATAGTGCGTAAGTACTGCTCATTGGGATCTGGATCCCACCCGACTAACCTATCAGTAGTTCAAGTTTTGGCCTCAGCATTGTGAAAAATATGCATGCATGTGTGCATGCACGCCCAAAATCCAGATGGGAATGAGTGGGAGAGGAAAGGGATTGTGGCATGACCACACCCTGGTGGGGAGGGGTCTTATCTCACTCTCTTTTGAGTGCACATGCCCTCTGATAATAAAGAAAAAGAAATTTTCCTTAATGCACAAAATTTGAAATGATGGAAATGCCCCAGAATTACTTTGTTTGAAAGCCTAAATTACAAACTGGGCTGATACAAACCACACCCCGGTGGGGAGGGGTCTTTTCTCTCTCACTCTCTTTTGAGTGCACATGCCCTCTGATAATAAAGAAAAAGAAATTTTCCTTAATGCACAAAATTTGAAATGATGGAAATGCCCCAGAATTACTTTGTTTGAAAGCCTAAATTACAAACTGGGCTGATACAATGGCCACATGGTGGCACCACTGTGGCTCGTGAGCAGCAGTCCCTTCCTGTCTTCAGGCCTTGCCTGCTGCATTGGAACACAATGCTAGGACTAGTTATTTTCTGTCTTACTGTTGTAATGATTTTTTTTTTTTCATGTCCTGTAACAGGCATGATATAAGCATTAACTTGTAACTTGCAGTTACTATTCTGAAGAAGTAGCTTGGAATAGAAATTAAAGGTAGTGAAGCGTGGTAAAGGAGTCCAGATACCCTTGTGGAGAGTACTGTTACTGTGGAAGGGAGGACCGTGAGGAAAAAACAGAAATGAAGGCTGTACTAGGAAAATAAAATAAAAGGCAGCATCAGAGCAAAACACAAGTGGTGATTATAGATGTGTATGCTCAGAAACAAACTAGTATATTATCCTTTATACCTGGTTTACAGTCAAGGGGACTTTATTCTTTACAGTATTTGTGTATGTGTGCATTCATCTCCATGTCTCTGTAAGTCTACAGTATTGAAATAAAATATAACAAGATTCTGAGGTGGACTAAAACTATTCTTTTGAAGAGATTTTTGCCTTAGGGTGCACATATTTGCCAGAGAGAGACAAAGACAGTGAGAGAGAAAGTGAGAAATTACCCTTTACACACCCGGCGGGGGTGGGGAGGATGGCCACGCTGCAATGCTTTCTCCTTCATTCTCCTCCCAGGATCTTGGGCACGCATGCACATGTGCCCAGCATGAGTTTCAAGCCATCAAGGCCAGGACTCAGACTGTAGTAGGCCATGTGAGAGTCCAGTGACATAACTGCTATACCATCTGCTAGCCCTTCTTTGCATTTAAAAAAATATTTTAAAAGACTGTCTTTCATGAGAGACAGATAGGCATCTCCACCAGAATCTCCACACTGTCGTCCACCCCCAGTCTCAGCCACCCAGATCACGGTCACATGCACATGGGCTTGGCATGCACACAGAGTCCTCAGGATGCGAAGTCAGGACCTTCTATGTGGGTCCACTTGTATTGTGGCTGGGCTACCATTTGGTCCTTTTGTTTTTTTAACGGAGGAAAAGAGCATAACCCTGGAAACATCCTATGTTGGCAGCTATAAGGAAATTGTTATGAAAAAACTGTTTTAATTACACTATGTCATGGCAGTATAGACTTAAACTTTCAAAATTGCAGAGCTGAAAAGAATCATTACTATCTAGGACAGATACCTAATTATTTACTCAAATTGCCTGATGTCTCTTTTAGTGTTCTTTAAAATTCTGACCATATTAACTAATATATAAATGTGTTGAAGACTAGTGCTAAGACTTTTTGATAGATAATAGCAGTGTTCCATCTTGATTCTAATTAGTGATTTGTTCTGTTTATTAGATTCTATTTGGATTCCAGTTGCTGCTGCTTTTGCATTCTTTCTGATATTTTTCCTGACATTTGTATGTTGTCGTATTAAGAAGATCAGCCCATTTAAGAGAAAAAATATAATGTTACCCAAGTCCTTGGTAATGTATTTAAGTATTTCTCTCTAATTAGATACACGAAAATATTAACTTGAACTTCTTTTGACAGCTTTAAACATCTTTTGAGTACCATGGGGCTCAGCAGCATGTCACCTGCCATAAATCATTGAGTCTCCCACACATCTCACCATGTATTCTTACTGTGCACCACGTACTTTTTTTTCATTCTCAGGACAAACACAGACAAATCTTTTAAGGAGCATAAAGTCTAGTGGGAAAAAAAGATGAGTGCACAGTGGATATTCATTGTGATAGGTTCAAAGATGGAGGTTTATAGGAGCCAGTGAGGACTTTGTCCAGCTTTAGGGTTGGGAGTTAGTCTTGGCTTTTCTAGAGATAAAAATGCTTGAGAGTCCTGCAGGACAGTGGGAAGTTACTCAGGTACTAAGGGGCAGTACGTGCTAAGGCCCAGAGTAAGAAAGCATGGCTTGGGAAGATCTGGACATACAAAAACACCTCCTTGTATTTGCAGTTTAGAAGGAGAGATGGCCTTAATGACACTAACATAGGAGTTTGGCATTTTGATGTCTAACATTTTAAAGACTTTGATCAAAAGGATATTTAAAAATAACAGAAGGATAGCTGTTTAAATCAAGTATGTCAGGAATAATACCTGTGATGTTCAAAGAGCATGCTGAAATTTGCCATAAAATCACTATCTTTAAGAAAAGTGGATAAGAGCTATGAATGTTAGTAGACAATTCATGTACGAATTATTGGTCTCTACTAGTAATTAAACACAAGGCAACCAGGCAGTATGTAGAGACAGACGGGTAACTCGAATATACAGTAGTACCAGTAATAGTGTAACTAGTAAAAGGTGGTGAAAAGTAATATAGCCCCGGCAGAAGGTGAGTGAACTTTGAGTGTACAGTGTTCTGGTGACAGAAACATACCAAAGCCTTTGACGTAGTCATTCCATTCATGCAAATTTATTCTGAGGAAATGATTTATAAAGAAAACATGAAATGTTCAACAGTTTGTAATTAGTAACAACTGGAAACACTTTTGCTGTTACAGAAATTATAAATTATATACATTTATAAAGAAATAATATGAACCACTGAAAATTATGATGGCAAATTATGAATACATATATAATAAGTAAATACGTTATTATATAAAATAAGTAGATGAAAATATGCATATATGAGAGGTAAAATACAAAAAGTAGCATATGTTTGTGAGACATTGCATAACTTTTTAAAAATTTGTTTTAATCTACACATATAGTTGGGGATTGGTAGGTGGCATGGTGGTTAAGGTGCAGGATTCTCACTTGTCTGACCATGGTTCAGATCCTGGACCTGGAGGCTTAAAAATCACACCAGGCATGTTACTGCATGTGCCCAAAATCCCAGGAGGAGAATGGAGGAGAAGGAATTCTAGCATGGCAACCCCCCTTAGGGATAATTTCTCACTTTCCCACTGACTTTCTCCCTCTGTCTGTCTCAAGCAAGTGCACAGACCCTATGGCAAAAACCCTAAAAATAAATAAACATACAGTGGTTTTCAGTATGCTCGGGGGATTTATACAGGACTCCCCCCCATAGATAGCAAAAACCATGGATACTCAAGTTCCTTACATAAAATGACCTTTGATATCCTTCCATGTACTTTAACTCATCTCTAGATCCTTTATGATACCTAATACAATGTAAATACTACACATATAGCTTTATACTATATTGCTTTTTAATTTGTATTACTGTTAATTTTTTTCCCCAAAAAATGTTTGGTTAAATCTGTGAATGTAGAACCCAAGGATACAGAGGCCTAATTATAGTACTTTTTCTTTTTTTTTTTTTTTGGAGAGGTTTTCACTATAGGGCGCGTGCGCTCGCCAGCCAGAGAGAGACAGAAAGCGAGAAATCACCCCCCAGGGGTGATGACCACGCCGCAATCCCTTCTCCTCCATTCTCCTCTCGGGATCTTGGGCACACACACACATGCACCCAGTGTGAATTTTAAGCCACCAGGTCCGGGACTCGAACTGCAGTCAACTACATGGGAGTCCAGCGACATAGCCATTACGCTAACTGCTGGTCCCTGTAGTACTTTTTAAAAAAGAAAGGAAAAGACACCATGAGATTAAATTATAATGTTACTCTAAATATGACAGTGCTCTGTTATTTTTAGACTACTTTAAGTACTCATTTAAGTTTAATAATTTGTTATCATTAATCAATTTCTTTCTCTGTAGCTCTCTGTGGTTAGAAGCGCCACTTCAGAGACAAAACCTGAATCAAAATATGTATCACTCATCACATCATACCAGCCAGTTGTCCCAGAAAATGAGGCAGTGATCTGTGAAGAGCAGTTGTCTCCAGCAACAAATTCAGGCATGCACACTGAATGCAATCCAGGAAAAGCGGAACACAGAGAAGAACTTGCTAGTGAAACAGAAGTGGTGATTATTGAAGAAAAGGTTTCTAACTTGGCCTCTAGTAGCCTTGTGAATCCAGAAGACAGACAGAATTCCTTCCAGTCAAGTAGTAACCAGTCTGAACCGTGCACTGTTGCTTTAAACTCATATCACTCCAGAAATGGTTCTGACAGTGGCCTGGTGGAATCAGATGGCTTCTTATCTGACTCAGAATTTTCTCCAAATAATAAAACTGAAATAAAGAAAGAAGAACAAGAGGCTGTAATGCCAAGAATTGCCCCCACCTCTTTTGGTTATGATAAACCACATGTACTCGTAGATCTGCTTGTAGAAGGCGGTGGTAAAGAGTCCTTGATTGGTTATAGACCTACAGCAGATTCCAAAGACTTGTCAGAAGACTAATAAGATGCAGCACTCTTATTAAAAGCAGATCCTTATTGAAGGATTTCCCCGGCAGTTCTTTTGCTTTGGTATCATGAAAAAAATGAAGATCTCAGAAATCAAATTTTGATTGATGTTAACCAAATGGAGTGTCTTGATTTAGTGTTAAGAACTTGTTTGGGATTATCACATTTGGTCTGAAAACTACAGAGACACTTTTTTTAAAAAAAGAAAAAAGAAAAAGAAACTATTATAGCTTGGCAGCCTTATCATCTATCTGATGGACTAGCACTAGCAGGGAACCCTTTCCTGACCCCTGCTTCCTGTGAAAGCAGGTTATGTACCAGGGATCTTCCTAGCCACTTTCAGAGATATCATGGATCTTTTCTTGTCTGTGCCTCACTTTGTTTGTTTGTTTTTCAGTATGCTCTTATTTTAGTGAATTTACGAATATATTGCATTTTTGATGCTTAATTTCAAGAGAAATGCTGAAAACCTTTCAAAATTGCATCTGAAATACAATTCAAACTAATAGAATGTATGATAGAGTTTGTAAATAAAAACCTGTATATATTTTTTATGGAACACTGCATTTAGAGATTTTTAAATAAAGTATTTTTAAAAAATCACTGTTGTATTTATTCAAGTACTAGTCAGTCTTTCATAGGTAACCAGAATGCTTTTTGTCCATTGCATAATTCCATGCATGAATTCTATAGGATTATTTTCTAATTGTTCATTTCTAATGTTTAAAACAATCCTTAGATTGTTTTAAAATACAGACATTAGAATGGGGGAAAAAAGTAAATATGAAAATAGTTGAAATAGCCCATAACAAATTAATAGGTACTGCTCTCCAAAAGGATTGTGTGAATAGCCATATGTGAATGAATGGCCTGTTCTTGGGACCAACAGATGGCATAATCGTTACGTCACTGGTCGTCCACAGTTCAAGTCCCAGACCTGGTGGCCAAAACCTCAACGTTGGGCGTGTGTGTGTGTGTGTGTGTGTGTGTGTGTGTGTGTGCGTGCCCAGGATCCCAAGAGGATAATGGAGGGGAAGGGATTACCGCATGGCCGTGTCCCCAGGGGGTGACTTCTCGATTCCTGTCTCTCTGTGTCTCCCGCAAGTACACGCACCTTATAGGAAAATTCTTTTTCTCAAAAAAAAAAAAAAAACCTGTTCTTACTAATACCAGTCTTTAATCTCTACCAGTCTTGTAGGTAAAATATTTTAATGCTTTCATTTACATTTGTTTAATAATTAGGGAAGTTGAGCATATTTTATTTATTAGGCATGTATATTTCCGTGACTACTAATCTTCTCTCTTGTCATTTCATTCTGTGTCCTGGGTTTATGTTTTTCTTCCTGATCAAACCCTTTATCTGCCATGAGATACACTTTATTTTTTAATTGCTTGTCTTCTGACGGTTACACCACACACAGATGTTTAAAATGTTTATAAAGGCAGATTTATTCAACATTTTCTCCCATTCTTAAAAAGCCCGTTTCCCAAAAGATACACATCTTCATCCATGTTTTCATCTGGTATTTGGGAGTCACTGTTTCATTTTTACATAGTATTTGTTACCATCTAGTTTTTAAAATTGTTTTGCTTTTGTCATTTAAGGGGTGAGACCGGGATCCAGCTTTATTATTTTGTGTTAATTTCCTATGACATACAATAAATTATTACAAACATGGATGACTAAAAACAACAGAAATTTGTTCTTTCACAATTTAGTTACCAGAAGCCTGAGATTAAGGTTTTGTTAGGTCCATATTCTACAAGGACTTTTCAAAAAGTTCACAGAAAATGTGTAATATGAAAAAACTGCATTTCAAAATTATTTTGCACCCAAATAAACTCATATTTCAATTCAATTTTCCCGTGAACTTTCTGAATGAAGTCTGTACTTTTAGGGGAGGATTGACTTTCAGGTTTCTGGTGGTTAAAGGCAGGCCTTGGCTTTTCCTGACTCAGTTGTGTCATTCCAGTCCCAGCCTCGGTTGTCACCTGGCATCCTTCCCCATGTGTCTCTGTGTCCAAATCTCTGTAAGGGCACGGGGATTAGGGCTCACTAGTCTAGTAGGATCTCATCTTCACTTGATTCCATTCACAAAGCCACTTTCCAATAAGATCACATTGATAGCTATCAGGAGTTAGGGCTTCAATGTATCTTTTTGAGAGACACAATTCAACTTCGATTTTTTTCCCCTGACAAATGAGTTATCCCAATACTGTTCATTAAATCTTCCAACGTTCTTGTGCTCATTTCAAATGTCATATTTATCATACACAAAATTCTTAGTACTCCTGACACTTGTTTTCCTGTGTCCATATCACACTCCTAATGATGATAGCTTTATTCTAGGATATATTTTAACTTTTGAGGCTCTCCTAAATACTGTGATCAGTGTTCATTGCTCATATTTCTTAATGGTAATTCTTTCAGATAAAATAAAGAAATTATATTTAAAATTCCCCCCAAATTTTGAATCTTTTGGGGGTTTCTATGGGCATTCCATCGACTATATAGACTTCCAAAGTCTGATGTTCTCCAAGAATGGGGAACATTTTTTATTTAAGCCTTACATCCTCAATAGTTTTGTATTTTAAAAAAATGTAGGGCATTTCCTACAAAGTTTATTTCTTAACACTTTATATATTTGTTTGTTGCTGATGGGTATACAGTCTTTCATTGCAGTTTCTAAATGGCTATACGAAAAAATCTGTTACGTATTTTTGTATCCAACCAATATCTAAACTTTTAATTTTTTTCTTCAAGATTTTCAGTTGATTGGTTTTCTCAGTACACAACAGGATTCTCCACGTACTTCTCAAGGCTTCTTCATCTACAAGGAACCGGCTTTGCAGTGGCTTCCCTTTTTCAGAATGTCCCTCAATCCTTCTGTGAAGTCCAAGGCCTCAGGCTCACACCACTGAGTGCCCCTGAACTCATTGTCCCTTGGTCTCACCTCCCTAGTCACGGGTGCCTTGCTCCTTCATCTGGCCTCAGCCTCAGGGTTTGCTGTGACCTCTTCCGTCCGAGTGGTTCCCTGCCTCTCCTAACTCCAGCCTGTCTATGGTCAACAAGGCCTCTTGGCCCCAGCTTCAATGACCTCCTCCCATCATTTTCCCTGCACCCTGCTTTCTCCATAGCACTAATCACCTGGAAAAACAGTGATGTGTCTTCTACAATGGTTCACTGTCGGCCTGCCACACACAGAGGTGCTAAGGTGTCAGCTCTGAGAACAGGAGTTTGTCTGATCTGCTGTGATACTCCCAATGTCAAGATACTGCTCAAAACATACGCCAACAGCTCAAAAAATATTTGCCAACTAAATTTTCTTTACAGTTATCTTGATTTTGTTTATAATCATACCAGTTTTACTCCTTTATTATGGTTTTATAGTTTATCAATATATACATTTATATGAGTTACATTGATATGTATAAAAACCTTGTATTACATATACTTTATTAAATGTAATATATTTATATAATATATACGGGAAAAAATGGAGGAGAAAACCAATTATCATGAGCCTCTGCGGTAGGCTGATGCTTGGCAAAATTTCTCTCATTGACTCTCCTAGTTACATGTTGAGGCTGATGAGATACTTTTTTTTCCTGAGGAAACTGCAGCATAGGAAAGTTACCAGTTTTTTAGGTAAATGAGAAGCCAAAGAGTTTACTTGTAAGTATCGTGTAGAAGGAACTCAAAGCAAATAAAACATTGAGGAGGCAGAGCCAGGGCCTTATAGAGTGCAGAGGCAGAGGGGTGCCTCCGGGTGCCTGAGTGCAGCACGGTTAGAGGTATGACAGAATCCTGAGGTCCAGGATGGCCCCCCCGGGCAGAAGCTTCTGCTGGGACATGCGTTTGGTGAGGAAGGAGGTCTCCCACTTGCACATCCACACACTATCATGGGGAGGGCGTAGGAGCCACCCACATTGTTATGATAGTCCCCTATTTGGGAGAATATGGGATGTTTAAGTGGGTTCAGTTAAAGAGTCTAGAAACTCCAGAAAGCAAATGAGTTTTGTGAGCACTCTGGGTTTGTGTGGGCATTTAGAGAGATAAGAAATGGCAGCTTTCAGGCCTTTGACTATACCCAGGGTGAAGACCCCATTTCAAGTTGAAGTCCCAAAAATTTGAATACAAACTCAAGTGTCACCTTTCTCCAAAACCCTTGCTTTTCCCCCTGTGCTCTGATGTCTCTCACTTCCTATATAAATAAAGACATTTGACCTTCCACTTGTCTTGGATCAATATGATTACGTGTCTGCTAACTTTGCCCACCCAGCAGCTCCACCCAAAAATAGCCTTAGGTACAGCTGGAAATACACTAATAAGTTACTAATGGTGGTTACTCACAATGCTATGGTAATATCATTAAAAAAAAAAAAAAGTCACTTTCCAGATGCAAAAGGTATTGTCCTTACTTTGAGTCTTAAGAGGATTTAAATTCCATCCAGAAGTACAGTTTATATCTTGGACTGCTATGCATTTAAGCAGTTATGTGACTACACTTTATCTTTTTGTTCTTGGATAGTAAACTAAATAGTAAATCAGATAGGAGATAGTAATCTATCTCTGCCCTTCCACTCCCAGAAATCAGAGCAAGGATGGGGAATTCCAAATCAGGCTGTGTAAATCAGTTTCTTTTTCTTTTCCTTAAGAAAACTTGAAGGAAAGCAATGAGAATTAAACAATTCTTCCACTTGCAAATTTTGTTTTAATTTTCTCCTACAAAATCCTTGGGTCAGAAAAAGAAATTATTGTAGAATTTCTTGAAAAAATACAAAAAGAAAAGAACAGAAAAAGGAGAGCCAGGTTTCTGCCACAATGGTAATACACTACTCAAGAGGAACCAGATTCCACATAGTGACTGCAGTTTGAATCCTCGGCTGGGTCAGTCTGAAGCACGCTAAGCATACATGTGAGTGCCCAAGATCTCACAGGCTGGATAATCAGAGGAAGGGGGTTGTGTGACCAGCCCCTGTGGAGGGTACTCGGCTCTCTCTTTCTCTCATGTGCACGTGTATACGCTATCATGAGTAAAGGGAAGAAACCTTTTAAAAATAATAATGCAAGTATCACAGGCTGGCCCCAGAGCACTGAGGTTAAATGCTGTGTAAAGGAGACTGGATCCCACAGGGCTGACCAAGGTTTGAATTTCTGCCCTGGTGGCTAGAAGAACACACCAGGTCAGCATGCGAAGGTGCCTACGATCTAGATGGGATAGAGAGATGAGAAGAGTGCAACATGACCAGCCCCACATGATCTCTCCCCACACCCATGCACACACACGCATGCACACACACACACATCCTCAGGTACAGGAAAGGAAAGAAAGGAAAGGGGAGGGAAAAGAAGGAAGGTAGGGAGGAAAGAGGAAGGA